AAAAAAGTATTGTGATTTGGATGAAAGTTTATAGAGCAAATTCATCTTCCATACAGCAGTTCATACACATTTTATCTCATGGTATTGACTGCAATTCCCCACAATGTAACAGCTGTCATCCCACTTCCTCCCCATAGTTATCTATTCCATATGCCCTTCCCATGCACTCCTGCCCCCAACCCCAGGTGTCTCCCTGTGCAAACACTGCTCTTTTGTTCTTCCATGACTGATCACTCCAAGTGGTAGCTACATGCGGTAAATGATCACCCCATATGCCTGTCTATTGTTTGGCTGGAAGCCACAGGAGTGAGTTCAATTCCAGACCTGAAGGGTAACTAGGGGCCACAGTCTCAGAGGTCTCACCAGGCTCTATCAGACCAGCAAACGTGGGGTTTTTTGGTTTATTTTTTTTTATGATTTTTTTTTTCCACATTGTTCTCCCACTCTATCCAGGATCTCCTGCACCAACCCCCTCTGACTGGCTGACAGTGGTAGCTGGGCACCATCTAGTTCTTCTGGTCTTATGCTCAAATAGGCTGAGGATCACAAGGTCTACCAGTCCCTTAGATTGTTTCCATGTGTCTTTGGTTTTCTTCATTCTTCTTTGCTTTGGATGAGGTGAGACCCATCTAGATGGCTGCTTGCTAGCTGTTAAGTTCCCAGTTACTACTCACCAAAGTAGGCTGTAGAATAATGTTTTTAAGTAGTATGTTTTGCTAATTGAGCTTAATGTCCCCTATGACCATGGTCCCAAGCCCACAGGTCCAACTACTTACTCCCTCTGGGCAGCTGGCTGTGGCAAAGAAGCCATCACAATAAAATATGATAGATTTTTTAAAAATTATAGACTAGGAAGACAAAAGAGAGAAACTCTCCCATAAAGTGATACTAAAAGATAAGGCTATCAAAAATTAGAAAATTCAAGGATCATCTAGCCAAATTCTTGAGTATTAGAAGTTGCAAAGGGAAATAATAGAAAGAAAAAAAAAAAATACTAATTTTTTTCAATTCCCAGAACTGATGAATAATTTTCCAGATTGAAAAAGCATAGTGTATAACTGTGTTATCAGTGATAACAAACAATCTATGGGTAAATAGATGGGTAGACAGGGTGAATGATCAGATATGTCCGGGCAAAAGGGAATATACCCAAGACCATACATTTCTACATACTTACTTTTGTGTCTCGGAAGGAAGGTTGGGCAATCCTACTTCCGTAGTGATACTGCCTCGGAAACCCAAGGAGGGGTTGCTATGAGTCGGGGCTGACTCAACGGCACATAACAACAACAGCAACAACAACTTCTGTGTGCTGTAAGAATGTCCATACAAATAGAACTAACAGGGGGCAAAGTTATGGTAACTTCTTAGCCACAGTCAGCCACCCTGATGGAGCAAGTTGTTGGACTTGTGGGCTTGGTACCATCAAGCTCAATTGGCATAATATATGCTACACTAAAACACTGATCCACATCCTATTTTGGTGAGTAGCACCTGGAGTCTTAAAAGCTTGCAAACAGCCATCTAGATCTAATAATTATTCTCTCCTCATCTGCAACAAAGAAGAAAACCAAAGAAGCATGGAAACAATTAGTCCAAGGACTAGTGGACCTGCAAACCTCTGCCTTTATGACCATGAGACCAAAACTAGACAATGCCCAGCTACCACCGTCTACCACTGGGAAAGGGATTAATGCAGGAGATCCTGGATAGAATGGGAGGACAATGTGGAACAAACTCAAAATTCATAAAAAACAGACCAGGTTTACTGGTCTGATAGAGCCAGGTGAGACCCCTGAGACTATGGCATGTAGTTACCCCTTCAGGCCTGGAACTGAACTCACTCCCGTGGCTTCCAGCCACACAGACTGGCATACAGGGTGAACATTTCCACAGGGAGACATGTCCTTAGAATGATCAATCATGGGAGAACAGAAAAGCAGTATTTGCACGGGGAGATAGCTCAGGGGGCAGGAATGCACAGGAAAGGACACAGCAAAGAGGTAACTACAGTGAGGAAGTAGGAAGAGAGCTGTTACATTGTGGGGATTGCAGTCAATGTTATAAAACACAATGTATATGAACTGCTATATGGAAAATGAATTTGCTCTTTAAACTTTCACCCAAATCACAATTTAAAAAAAAAAAAAAAAGCCTGCAGTATCTCATATTCCATATTCTCTCCCACAATGTGATCTTAACACTTCACTATCAAGAAATGAGATCTATGCCCTCTCCCTTGAATCTGGGCGGACTTGCAACCTGCTTGTAATCAGAGTACAGTAGGTGGGATCCTGTACCACTTCCATGACTGGTCACTTTGTTTCCACTTGTACTTGCAGCTTACACTTTGCTCACTGGGCCACTTGCACTTGGAGCCTTGAGATGCCTTGTAAGAAATGCCATCACCCTGAGTCCTCCATGGTGTGAAGGAGCTGAGCCACGAGGAGAGGTCATATATAGCCACAGAAAATGCATGAGACACCCCTAGGAAAGCTGCCCTGATGAATCCTTCTCAAATTTAAGCTACCAGGTTTGGAGTAGTTTTTTACACAGCAGTAATGACTGGAACAAAGCACTATTAAGCGCTCAACGCAATAAATTGGTACAGGGGATTGGAAGAATAGACCAACATCAAGTACAATGTAGTGAAATTTGAGAATACTAAATTGGTCTTAAAAACTTACAACAAAAAACAGATAGCTCAGAGGGCAGGAATGCATAGCAAAGAAAGACAAACTTTCTGTTAACCAAAGGGAGGAAGTGTGAAGAGAGCTGTTATATTGTGGGGATTGCAATCAATGTGTATGAACTGCTGTATGGAAAATGAACTTGCACTGTAAACTTTCACCCAAATTTAAAAAAAAAAAAAAGGAATGATTTCCAATCTAAAATTCTATTCCCATTCAAATAATTAATCAAATATTTAAAAAACCCAAATTCACTACCATCGAGTTGATTCAGACTCATAGCGACTCTATAGGACAGAGAAAAACTGCCCCATAAGGTTTCCAAGGCTATAAATTTTTAGAGAAGCAGGCTGCCACATCTTTCTCCTGTGGAACAGCTAGTGGGTTTAAGCCACTGACCTCTTGTCTAGCAGCACCACCCAGACTCCTTGAATCAAACACAAAGGGAAAATAAATACATTTTAGATATGCAAGCTCAGAAGATTAGAGGATAGGCTCCATCAAAATGAGAAAGCAAACTGAAAAAGAAGAATATACAGAACTCAGGACTCAGGAAATGGGGGGTAAGGGTGCTTAAGGTGAAGTGATTCTAAGATGGGTAATGTAATGATGAACTGCTGTTATCCTGGGTAACAGAGCAGCAGGCTCAAAGAGCAATACATCCAGGCTGAGGCAGGAAGATGGGGTTCACAAGAGTCATTTCCAAGAGGAAGTAGAGCTAACACATTACCTGATGCACATAACTGAGTTGGAAGGAGCTTTACCCTTAAGGCAGAAAGTTTTGGATGAGGTAGTAATAGAAATACACAAAACTAAGCAAACAAAAAAAGAAGGAAAAAGCAATTATTAATTCCAAGAAAAATCAAAAACTTATACCTAAAGGAACTGTAATCATAGACCAGTAAAGGACTCAGCAGCAAATAGTAATAATAGTCATACAAAACCCTGGATGAGGATTTAAGCCAACAATAATTATACCAAGTTATTTGAGGAGACTAGCAAAGGAATTATATGTCCAGGTGTTATACATTGCAAGGAGGCTAGTGTAAGAGAGCTAACTCATCATCTTTCATTATGGCAAATCAGTAAACAATGTCTCAAATCATAACTAAAGATAACATTTTTTATTGATGAACATGAAATTAATCACTGAAGGTCCCTAAGTCCCTAAAAGAATAGTGTTTGATCCTGGGAAGAAGGAATTGGCTGGTGGATGTGGCTTTGGTCAGATGAGAAAGTTCTCAACTTAGTGCTTCTGTTTTCTCAGTGGGGTAAGCAAGACTCTGAGCATATTGGAGGTCTGAAGAGAATGAGAAGATAGAAAATAGTCATCCTGGAGAGATCATAGTCAGAAGGCAGTGAGTGCCAATTTAAGATTGGTGGTCATATTCAACATCACCGAATCCTATTAAAACTTCTTTCTGTATATAGCTCAAATTTATCTCCATCTCTGCATAGCAACTGCTAGGGAACTTGGGATTACACCTTCTCACACTCTCAGGCACTTTCCCCCAGCTGCATTCCTGCACTATTTACTCCAGGAATTCTGGTCTTTCTTCAACCCGACCTTCCAACCCAGGCACGTGCCCAATGCATACCCTGAGATAGCAATGTTTAGAGATGTCTGGCTCAGTATGTCTGCTGTCCTCACAAAATGAGCCAGATGGGCAAAGTAGGGATCCCTGCCCCTTCTTCATCTTTGCATCACTAATGTCTGGCACCTCAGACTATAGCTTTGATGAGAGAATGACGACCTGCTAAATGCAGAAAAGTAAGCAAGCTGCAAGGTCTCTCAGAATAGATGCTACTGGGTGACAAGTTTGAGATCATGAAAACAGTAAGGCTATCGAAGATGTCACACGGAGAGATGGAGTTTCATTCTGAAAATCTGGAACCTCACTGAGCATTCAAATAGTTTATTTGCATGATTAAGAATCATTTTCAGCAGTGCATCAAGCATCTGAGAAAAACATTATTTTGGGTAAGAGCAGGATCCCTTCCAAAGACCTTCCCTCCCAGGTCAGGTGCTCAAATGTCCACCATGTCCAGCAGTGCAGAGAGATGGAGCTCGGAGGCAACTTCCTCCTCTCTCGAGCTCTGGATAAGCCTTTCCAGGTGCTTCAGCCGCTCAGTCAGAGACACATCTGTGGCCTCAGATGGCTGCAGGTGCTCTCTTGTCCTTTTGTTCTAATTTAAAAAATAAAATAAGTACTTTTGAGAAAGCAATAAACCAAGACCTATTTTCTATGCAGACGGTAGACCTGGCTCACATTAGAAACCTCTGGGCCCATGTGTCTTGGCATTCGTCATGCACTTCTTGCCTCCCTTAGCATATGTAAGAACCAGCATAATCTGAATGTGGGGCATTTTCTTCATATCCATCACAAACAAGTTCCAGTTCAATCATTCTTATAAACTATGATTGCCAATGGCTGCATACTCTTCTGTCATATTAATCTATTGTAATTATTTAACCAGACCCCGTTTTTAGATATTTAGCTTGTTTCTATTTTTATGCAGCATAATTAACTACTTTTATTATTAACTTTTGTTAAAATCTGGCTTCTTTAGGGTAGAACTGGCGAGTTAAAGTATGTTTAAAGGATCTCAAAAGTTTAAAACAGTATGGTTTCCCACAGCCAGTCCAGGGCTCACTCTGTGCCTGTTCAGCAGCACAGAACTGTAATGAAGGGAGGGTAAGGAAGTAGAAAGACATTGGGCTTTGGCATCAATTGAGCTGGCTTTGAATAGCAGCCCTGCACTGACCAGCTGGACAGTCTTGGTGAGGTCCTTGACTCTGTGAGCTGACCCTCCTCACTCACACAAAAGGAAAATCAGTACCCTAAGGAGGTCTGTAGAATATGATGGCCAGGACAGGTTGCACAAACAACTCCCTTGCTGCACTTAGCACAGTTAGAATTCTGTTCTGTCCTCAAAGCATATTTCAGTCCCATACTTCACTCATTTCACAAGCAAAAAGTCAGAATTAGTTAGCAATCTGTAGCACTGACAGATGAAGCTCAAGATAAAATTTAAACTAATAACTTATTATCACCATAACATCAGACAATGAATCAAAATGTTCTTTTGTCCCCCAGCCCTTCTCCTACTTCTCCAATGCTAATAAAAATGCTAAGTATAGGCAATCTTCAGGTTATGAATGAGATCTGTTCCTAAGTGTGTCTTTAAGTAAAATTTGGGAATGAAGTCAGAACAGGTACATATGGTTCTTACTGAGTCTCACTTAGTGCAAAAAAAAAAGGCTCAGCGCTTTTTCCATGATTTAAAAGCTGCATGTGTAGCAAGTGTAGGTGATTGTGATGAATAATTCTTTGCAAGTAGGAGTTGATTCAATCATTTCAGTTAGAGCAAATTTACATGATACTAAAGGGCTAGTTCAAGTTGTTAGACATTTGCAACCTGGGGACTTACTGTATACTCCCTTTTGACTTGTGGACTAGTACTTGTAGAAGATTTCGCTGATTGGATAGTCTGAGGCAGAGACACCAGAGTCTGAGGAAGGTAGAGGGGAAGGGAAGTTGAATCTGTAAATGCTTCCAAATCTTCAGACAACCACTGCTGAAGCTGATCTTCAAACCTGAAACAACACAGGACAGTAATTCAGAACCATTCAAGCACTAGGAAGCAAAAAATTAACTATTGCTCAACTTTTCTCCTATATATACTTTACATTTTTCAAGGCCTTTGATTTTCCTAAGGATAGGACTATGTAGGTACTACTACATCAACTGAGGAGAAATGTACTTTAAAAAATGTCGTGTCTTCCTTTTAGTTTATAAACCCAATTTAATGAGAAAGGTAGTATTTATCTAAAAGCTTCTGCTTTTATGTTAATTGAAATTACTCATAATTCATATTTTCTCTATTTAGCTTTCTTTGGTTATAAGCATCTTTGATTAATTCTTATCTCTTTATGGATTACCCAAACGTATGGATTGTTGCTTACAGTTTAACTCAAAAGAACATCCAATGCCATATAACAGACTGCAGAGCTATCTACCTCCATGACCTCATCTTTCCAAGGAAAGAAATCTAATTCAAGACCACTTAAATGCTACAGACCTAGGAAAATCTGTTAAAAATCTTGATATAACCTTCAGTCTTCCAACTCTATTTGCTGAGCCCCCGCTCCACTGAGCATGAAGTGCCACCACAAATCCCAGGGACACAGGACAAACACGACTGGTGGGCCCCACATGGCAGCTCATACTTCAGTGAGGAGAGACAAAGCAGGACCCACACGGGCCATGTGATCTGATGGTGGTGACATCACAGAAGACAGGGCAGAGGTATGGAGGTGGAAGGGCCTCATGAGAAGAGAACACTGGGCAGAACCCTGAAAGGAATGTGAGGTGAGCTTCGGGACATGGGGTCAGGGGTCCAGGTAAAGACAGAGAAGACCTGGCATGCAAGGACCTGTGCATTCCAGGAAGGAGAAGCTGGAAATGGTGGCAGAGGGTCAGAGAGGAATGGGGATAGATCTCACATGGGACCTTGCCAACTCATAAGGAGCAGGCCTTTGATCTCGAATAAGCGAGGAAACCCTTAAGAGTTCTGAGCAAAGCAGTGGCATGGCCTCTGTCTCACATCTGGAAGGACCCCACTGGCTCTGCTGAGAACAGACGCCACCTGTGGTAGCAGTTGGAAGGAAGAAAGTGGTGGCCAAAGCAGGGTGGCAGTCATGGGGTCATGATGAGTAGCTGGAGACTGAGTATGTTCTGAAAAGAGCCCACCTGACCCATAGAAGACCAGAGGATATGGGGGGATGTGTGGAATGAGGCTTGGCCACAGGGAAAGATGGAACTGCTATTACTGAGAAGGCCATAGGAGGAGGGGCTGGCTGGGGAAATTGAGGATCTCATCTAGGTCATGTCAAATCTAAAGGGGCTATTAGATATCCAAATGGAGATTCAGAGAGGCAGCAGGATCATCACATGAGTTTAGAGAAGAACTCTGGGCCAGAGATATACACTTGTAACTGTCAGACACTGATGCTATTAAAAATCTACAAGATTGGGTAAAATCATAGTCAATGGGTGCTAACGAAGTAGAAAAGTGGTTGCTGAGAGTGGTCTGGGGTGGGAAGAGCCAGTAGAGGGATCCTAAGGGATCCAGTGGGGAGCAGGGAAAGCAAGGGTACAAGAATGAGATGAGCAAAGATGTGAGACACAGTGGAGCCTGGTTCTCACTAGGGTTCTGGCACTGGGCTGTGAAAGCAGACATGGGGAGGAGGAGGCACCTGGGTGACTGCAGAAGACACAGCAAGAACTAGAGTGTGATGTGGATGAACTTGGAAGACATTATGCTGAGTGAAATAAGTCAATCACAGAAGGACAAATATTATATTAGTTCATTATTGTAAAAAGTCAAGGAAAGGTTTACATATGAAAGAAAACTACTTTTGTTGGTTACCAAGGTGGGAGGGGAGGGGAGGGAACACTGCAAAAAACAAAAAAATGAATGGAAAAAAAAAAAGAACTAGAGTATGAATATCAACAGCTGAAGGTTTCACTGTGAGGGGAACAGAACCATGGTGGTGGCCAAAAAGAACATGGGGCCAAGAGGTAACAAGGCCTCATACCAGGTACCACTGGGTATCAGGATAGGGGAGGGGAGGGGAGGGGGCAGTGAGGAGAGAGATAAGACCCAGACCTCCATGAGGGCTGCACAGCCAGGCCCAGGAAGCTGCCAGATGTGGCAGGGGGGATGAGCTTTATATATGCCCTTCTTGCCCATAAAGCCACCAATGAGGCTGTCAGGTGAGAGCACGAGGGAGGGAGCTACACAGTCAGGACAAGGAGGCTGTGCATGTGGAAGGTGGGAAGTGGGAGATGTACTGCTCCCACCAGAGTGGGATGCTCTGGCATCCCCCCACACTTGTCCAGAGGAGCCAGACAGAGCTTGCCACCTGCACGTCCCACAAGAACATGTGAAACTGATTTTCAACCATATATGAATGAAATTGGTTTTAAATAAGACCTTCAAAGACATTTTCCAGGGTACAACCTCTCCCCACAAAGAGCTTCTACTTTAAGTGGGTCTGGCTCAACCTTCATCTTCAAACAAAATCACATTACTGTCACCCTCACTGGCCCACCAGTCTGCCCCTTCCTGTGTCATCACCATCACACTGTCCTCTCCACCTGGCTATCTCTGCTGTCACCCTCACTGGCACACCCATCTTCCCCATCTGACTCTGCTAAATCCATTGACCACTCATTGTCTTGGCCAACATGAAATGAACTAGACAAAGTACATGTCCTGCAGGAAGCAGCTCTCACCTCCTGTTCTCCTCCTTCTCTAGCAGAAGGCTGCTGGACAGGCACTGCGAGAGCCGCTCTCCGACTGAAGCACCACAGATCAAGTCCTCCGCACTGCGAATGCCCCCTTCCTGGCCAGCCACAGTGCTCCTTTTCTGCTTCAGGTGGACGTGAAGTAACGGAGCAGGGAAATGGTTACCAGAAGAGTAGAGAGACTTCATCCCCAAGCTGTAAGCACATGTTCTGAAAGTTACAGTCAAGAGAGTGAAGGAAGAGCCAAACACACTGTGTCTATGTGTGCAAACACTGCCCCAATACACGCCTACCTGCACTGTATGGACCCTCACCCACATAGCACAACATCCTCCATTTACACTTGTGCTGCCAGAAGTTTCTGCTTCCATGAGACAGCTGTGCTCTCAAGGGCATCTCCACTCCGAGCAGTCCATCCCACCCAGGGTTACAAACAGGTGCTCTAGTGCTTCTAAATATGGATAAGGCTCAGCTTTTACATGCCAATCTTGAAGCCACCCATGAGTCATATTTGAAAATGCAGGAATGAGGAGATCTGATTTTTCCAAACAGTCACTAGTTAGCCCACCACAATGAGCAAGAGCCTGTCCCTCCCACTCATTTCACACTTAACTTGGGCCCCTGTTGCATGCGGCTTTATTCTGGTCCAGTGGTCTATTTCTGCATTATCTCATGCTTTAAAATCCCATAGCTTTACTACCTGTTTTGATGTGAGGCTGTGCCAACTCTCCTTCACTGTTACTCTTTTCAAAACTTTGTTGGTGATTGCTATACAGCTTCTTATCCTGATGACTTTCAGGATTAATTTATCTGGTTCCGGGGGAACACCCTTTTGGTTTCCTGATTGGAAACACACTGACTTCACAGTTTGAAAATTGCACTGTGAGAGCTCTGTGTCCCCCCTCAATGTGGACCTGGCCTCACATACCAGGTTCAGCCTCCCCTATCATCCACACCCAGGTGTGGTAGGCTGGCTGTAGATGGAAACTCCCTATGCTGCAGGTCAATTTCTCTGATCAGCCCACTGAACGCTGAAATGTTCCAACAGTCGGACTGTTGACTGTCTCAGAACAACACACCATCATTATGCTACACCTCAATGCCTCTCTCCTCCAACACTGTACCCCTCCTTCCCTGTGCCCTGCTCAGTCAAGATCCCCAGGATAAGAAGTATCAACAATGTATCATCTGTAAACAAGATTTCCTCTCTTCTCCCATAACACGCACCGCCACCACCACCCCCCCGCCCGGTCAGGGTCTCCAAGACAATAAGAACAGTAAAAACGATGGTGCCATCAGTCTGGCCCAATTGCAGTATTTCTAACATCTTAGCAAGAAACATAGCTTTTTGGGTTTACAGTAGAATACCCTTTCAAAATAAGGATTATCTTCCCCAGTCTCAACAGACAACGTGATGAGGAGTTGAGTATGGATTTTAAGAAATGTACACCACACAGGCACATCCTCTGTCAGCTCAACACACTATGGTGGCCCTCCTGTACCCACTTGGCATTTCTGAGCAAGATTCATGACTCACTTCTTTGCCTGCACTTTCCTGTCAGGAGTGGCATCATATCGAATCACATATGAGGTGAGACACTCCAAATCAGCTCCCATTGCACAGGGACAGGCTGTTCTGAGGGCCTGCTGGGTCTGTTGTGTGGGCATACTTGGTGCACACAACATAAATGAGCACTGGTACATTAAATTACAGTTTGTCTCCTGGCTACTGGGCCTGGCAGACACATGTACATGCAACACAGATCTCACCATTCCCAGTAGTGGTGGGGTCAACAAACACATACACATACGCATGTAAACACAAACCTCAGTATTCTCAGCTTTGGGGCCCAACAGACATATGCATACAACACAAGACCTCACCAACCCTGGCTGCAGGTCCTGGCACACACACATACACAACGTGGATCTCACCATCCCCGGCTCTGCTGTAGCTCCTTCTGTGTCTGGATTCTGGCCCGTTCCCATGACAATGGGACTTCATATTTTTTCAAATGGTTTTTAAAGAAATATACACATATCTGACCATCTTCACTCAATGCCTCTAATGAAACAACACAAAAAAAAAAAAATGAGAGAAATATCAGAAGAGCAAGAGGTGACCTCCTGACCTTTGCCTAAACCCATAGACCTCAGACCAGCCCTCTGCCTAACCTGAGCCCCACAGTTCCTGAGTCCCATGCTCAAGCCAAATTTGCTCCAAGGTCCATGGCCCACAGTCTCACCAACTGAAGAAGCCACAGCCTGGGCCATGTTAGGAAGTCTGTGCAGACATGTAGTGGACAGCCCTCCATTCATCTGGGACCTCAGTGAATCCAGATCCTATCAGACCTGTCAGCCCTTCCTAGTGTTTTACCTCCAGCAGGGTGTCACTGGCTTGAAGAGGGACCATCAGGACAGGAAAGGCATAAGGGGTGCAGTACACACAATGACAAGGATGACAGCCTCACACAAGCTGCCCACCTGAGGCGATGGGGAGCCGGGGGGGCACCCAGTCGCGCAGCTTGTGGTCAATGCACAGGGCAAGGAAATCGTCCCATGGAATCTCAGCGACTGAAGGTCCTGCTGACGCGCCTAGAGTGGGGTTCTGGCTCTTCCACCTGCTGTAGGTCCTGCCGAGCAGGCTCTCCACCTGGGACTGGAGGACAGGCTGCGTCTGGCGTGAACTGGAGATCTGGGACGCATACTGGAAGACCATGGCACAGACAGGGGCCCAGGGCGCTGGGGGAAGAGGATGCATCAACCAACCATAGGGGCTGTCTGCCCAGAACACACCTCACTCTGCTCCCTGAGACGAAGCCACATGGGAAAACCCTTCTTCACTCTGATGCTATAGCAGCACTTCATCTTAGAGCTGCAGAGAGGGATGCCATCTCCCCCATGGCTGACAGGAGTATCCTAGCCACATGACTTGGCCAACAGGGCACTGGCAGTTAGGTCCCTCAATGGCACCCAGTGCATGCATCAGCCAAGGACAGCATGGCCTCCAAGACACTCAGGATTCACACCAGGCCAGATGACCAGAAGGGTCTGAGTCCAAACTCAGCACAAAGATTGCATCGCAGCAAAGCAGCATAACCTGACCTGAGCAGGGCTCTTTGTGAAGAGAGGGGACATGGACACTGAGGTAGCAGAGGTAGCACTGAGGGCCAGACCACACAGAGCTGGCAGCCATGCTCCTGCCTCTCTTGCCCACCTGACTGATCATAGAGACCAGCTGTGGTTTCAGAAACCCCATGCGGCTTCTACCTCTCCCAGACCTCAGGAGCTGAGGTCTGGTAAGGGGCTAACAAACACTTGCCCTCCAACCAGGCTCATCCTAAGCCCAAGCCAAAGGGCAAGCAGAGGAGTAACAGAGAGTGTGGTGGGGGCAGAGGGAGCAGATGCAGTGGAGGTAGGTGCAGTGGGAGGGATTGGTAGGGACTAGCAAACTCTCCCCAGGCCCTCCTGTTAGTGAACGCATAAACTATGCATCAGAGATTGAAATGTGCTGACACCATTTCTGCAGACCAGCCTCCCCTCCCCCTCATCTTCTCAGGGCTCCTTGTGACCAAGGCACACACCCCCGGATGGCGGAAGGTCCATCTGTGGGATCTGAAAGGCAAGCACTGCCTGCTTAAGCCAAGCCAGGTGCTCTGGGCTGTTCCAGTGTAGGTGGGGCAATAGCCGGCTACCCCCAACCTCAGCAAACTCAGTGATGGGCCAGGACAGGTCACAGAGCTGCTCCAAAGAGGCCACAGTGGCTAGGAAGTACAGCACGCTATTGAAGAGCTCAATGACAGCTCCAGGGTCCTGCGAGGCCAGGCCAGCCAGCCGCCGCTCCCGCCGGTCATGAAAGAACCGGCCACTGAACTCCCGGGCAATCCCATCCTCAACGTATTGGGTTAGCGTCTGGCAACAGAGGTCCAGGGCACCAGGAGAGCGAGAAACCAGCCACTGCACTGCCCGCGAGACCTGAGTAGGGAGACAGGCAGGCCTTACAGCAGGTAAGATTCTAGAGGAGCTTCCTTGGGAGGTCAGTGCCCACCCAGCACCCACCCCACACTGCTAATCAAATCCTCAGCACCCACAGCCCTCCACTCCATGGACAGAGCAGGAGCCATGTCCCTGCCTGCTACCCTCACCCAGAGTCACCTCCTTCCCCTGTGGTTACTTAAATCTCAAGTCACACACACACTTCCCAATGTAATTATCAGCACAGATACCCTTTGTTTAAAGAAACCTCAGATGTTCTATCTGCATACATTCCAATGATACCCACCCTAGAAAGATACTTTACACACGTGACCTTCAGATACAAGATATGGCCAATCACATTTTAAATTCATAACACAGAAACACTAAAGAAATTTACACAAACAATTTAGTTTGTTGCAAGTGGCAGGACTATAGACAAATTATCTTTTATTCTGATTTTTATTTATGTTTTTAGAATTATCTATATAACATATAAAGTTAAAATTACAAATAATAATAATGGTCAACTTACAAAAGAGCAAAGGGGAAAAACTAAGAATATCTGCTGTACCTGTGAAAGTGGGGGTGCATACCTTAGCTGTGCCTCGTAAGTCCTGGATGGAATCTGAGATCTCAATAACAGTGTAATCTGAGATGAGCTTAGCTGACACCAAATCCTGCAACATCAAGCCTTTGGGAAAGACAGGTAAGTTTCATCATTTTTCACCTACAATCTGCACATACGCATACATGCACACATGTATGTGCAGGCATACCTGTGTGCACACATGCACACAAGCCCACACAAGTGCACGTACACATGCATGCACAAGCACATGCATGCACAAACACACACACTAGCCAAGGACAGAAAGACAGCACTATACTTATTCACCAACCTGCACCCAGTTTGCATGGCAATGATGTCTGCAGAGACTATCAGTGCCTTCTCAGAACTGGGCCCTACTACTCACTAACTGCCACCAGCTCATATGCAAGGCTGCATCTACGTACCATCTTCCACGTCCCTCTCAACAGCATCCCCATCCAGGCTGGGTGCGAGAACAGCCAATGGGATTGCAGGCTGGAAAGGCTTGGCCTGCAGGAGCTGCTTGAGCTGCAGCAGGGCAGACAGCCAGTACACATCTTCCTCAGCCATGTCCTCACTCTGTATTCGGGGGGGCAGCAGCAGCAGTAGTGCACTGGCACCCAAGAGGTCTTTCTGCATCTCCACAGCATCAAGGGCATGGTCACTGAGGGTGCCACGAGCCACCTGGAACAGCAGAGACCACCGGCACAAAATGCAGGCACCAGTAGCACAGAGTAGGCATAGCCCCAGCATTGCACAGGCACCCCACCAACCTCCAAGGACCTGAAGAAGGCTGATCCCCAAGTCCACAAACAATGTAAGAAATAGCACGCCAACAGTTCATGCAGTCTCTAGGAAAGATACAGGCTTTCACAGGCCTGGGAAGCAGAAGAAGCCCCTGGGTGGGTGCAACCAACTAGGGCAGCCAGCAGCACAGGCACTGGCACCAAGGGAGGCTTGAGACATGGAGGGTAGTTGTACATCAGGCAGGGACCCTGACCCCCAGACCAGAGGCTGCTTCAAACACCAAAACCTCACTAGGCGCAGTGGAGGATGGAGGCTGGGGGACAGGCTCCCTCTGGTGACTCCTAGAGGAGGCTGGGTAAGTCCTCTCTGGGGCAGATACCCAGGTGAGACCTCTAAGGCCCTCAACAGGCTATCTGCCACCCAGGGATCCCCCCATGTGTTCCTGAGAAAACCACCTGGGTGAGTAATAGCATCTGTACAATTCCAATGACGTTGGGAGTGAGTGAACACAGGAAGACCTCAGAGGCGAATACACATAGTGGTGGTCTGTCCCTCAGCTTCACACGCATAAATCCCCCACCTTCACGAACATGCTGACAGACCCCTCACCTTCACACACACGCTGACAGACACTGTCCGTCCCCCTCTGCTGCTGAGAGCGCTTGCCATAGTAAGTGTCTGGATCCCACCCACATCGCTGCCTGCACTGTCTGCCAGGCATCCGTCTCCCATGAACTTGACCTTCAACCAATTTGCTAGAATTCTGTGAATAAAGGAAAATAACACTTCACTTTAAGAGAAACCTAATTCTAAATCTGAATTATAAAGACTTTCAGGAGAAGAGAGAGGGAGAAGGATTCACACAGATCCAGTTTCATATACCAGAGTGCACTGTGACGCTGGCTAGACAGCCCCAACTATGGCTTTAAGATGAAGCCAAAAAAAAAAAAAAAGTAAGGTGGGGACCAGGTTTGCTGGTCCAATAGAGCCTGGTGGAACCACTGAGACTATGGCCCCTAGCTGCCCTTCAGGTCTGGAATTGAAGCCACACCTGTGGTTTCCAGCTAAACAAAGTACAGGCATGTGAGTTAAACATTTACCTCACGTAGACACACGCCCTGGAGAGAACAATCATGGGAGAAGGAAGGGCTGCTTATGCACAGGGAGATAGCTCAGGGTGCAGATGAGTATGGAGGGATGGACACTGGGAGGAGGTAACTATGGGGAGGAAGTGGGAGGGGAGCTGTTGCTTTGTAAATTTTGGTCAATGACATGAGACAGTATATTATGTGAACTGCTGTATGAAAAGTGAATTTACGCTGTAAATCTTCACCCAAATCAAAATAAAATTAAAAAAAAAAAAAAAAAAAAGATGAAGCCAAGAACTCCATGGGACTTCAATGGGGCTGGGAAAAGGGACACTTGGGAATGGGCTGGAATCCAATTCAAGATTCTGAAGCACTTAGAAAAGACCTGAAAGATGGAAAAGGTCCTTACACATTTTATAGACTCAAAATTCTCATCCTTGAGGTTTTAAGAATTCCTACGTGATGTATATTTCCTAATGAACTTACTAACAAATCAGAAATCAGCTATTCTACTTTAAGAAATGAATCATTATTTAAATACTCTGAGAATGCCATTCTCTCCATCTTGCTCAGCCACCCTATGAGATGAGTCTTCTTGGTTTTTTCTTTCTCTTTCCTTAGATTGCCCATGTTCAATGGTAACTGCTTAAAAAGTAATGTGTTCTGAGAAGTTGGAGCCTTCACACACTGCTGGTGGGAATGTAAAACAGTGCACCTGCTGTGAAAAACAGTCTGGCAGTTCTTCAGTTAAGCACAGAGTTACCATACCATATGTATGACCCTGAAATCCCACCTGGAAGTATAAACCCAAGAAAATTAAAAACTACATCCACACAAAAACATGTGTTAATAGTAGCATTATTCACAAAAGCCAAAAAATTAAAACAACCCAAATGTCTATCGATTGACAAATGGACAAAATGTGATCTACCCATACAATGGAATGCTATCTATGCATAAAAAAACTGAAATTCTGATATATATTACAACATGGATGAACCCTGAAAACATTGTGCTCAGTGAAAAAGTCGGTCACAAAAGGACAAATATTGTATGATCCTACTGAAAGGAAATGTCCAGAACAGGCAAACCTATGGAGTCAGAAAGCAGATTACTAGTTTCTGGGGCCAGGGAAAGAGGGTAAAGAAGAATGGTTAATAATAAAGGGTTCTTTATGGGATGACGATAATGTTCTAAAATTAGATTATGGTGCATGTCAGTATGCTAAAAACCACCAAATTATATACTTTAAATGTGTGAATTACATGGTATGTGAATTACTTATCAAGAAAGCTGTTTAAATTCACACAATGGAACACTATGCAATGCTAAAGAATAATGTAGAATCTGCAAAACACCGCATAACGTGGATGAACTTGGAGGACATTATGCTGAGCAAAATAAGTCAGTCACAAAAGGACAAATATTGTATTAGTCCGTTATTGTAAAAGTTAAGGAAAGGTTTATATATTGGAGGACATTTTCTTTGTTGGTTACCAGGGGTGGGAGGGAAGGGGAGGGAATGCTGTTAGATAGATAGAGATAAATATTGATTTGGGTGAAGAGAAGGGCAATGTACCAAATGGGAGTGACCAATATGGCAGCACTGAGGATGAGAAAGACAGAGAGAGTTACATGGGCAGTACAGACAACAAATATGAACCCCTTTGCATATACAATACTGAGTTGTCAGTGAAAGCAAACATGGGTATAGGGACGGATAGATGGGTGAACAAGCTAAACAATTAGGTATGTCTAAATGGAGAGTGTATCCAAGATCATATACAGGGTTGGCAGACAATGGGCCTATAAGTTCATGTGAATGATCAGAATTCCCAGGTGTATAGTAGAGCTGACAAGGGGCAAGGTTATGGTCATTACTTGGTCACAGCCAGCTACCCAGAGGGACCGAGTAGTTGATCCTGCGGGCTTGGGACCATAGTCACAGGGGACATCAAGCTCAATTGGCATAACATACTATACAAAACATTGTTCCACCTACTACTTTGGCGAGTAGCGACTGGGACCTTAAAAGCTAGGAAGCTGCCATCTAGATGCAACAACGGGTCTCTCCTCGTCAAGAAGAAAGAAGAAAACCAAAATTAATGGAAACAATCAGTCCTAGCGACTGGTACACCATCCGATCTGCAACCTATACAACTATGAGACCAGAAGAACTAGATGGTGCCCAGCTACCACTGCCAGCCACTTGGAAGGGATGTAGGAGATCCTGCATAAAGAGGGAGAACAATGTGGTACAAAACTCAAAATCATTTGGAGGCGAAAAAAAAAAAGAAGGTGGGGACCAGTTTGCTGGTCCAATGGAGCCTGGTATAACCACTGAGACTATGGCCCCTAGCTGCCCTTCAGGTCTGGAATTGAACCCACAACTGTGGTTTCCAGCCAAACAAAGTACAGGCATGTGAGTTAAACATTTACCTCAAGTAGACACACGCCCTGGAGAGAACAATCATGGGAGAAGGAAGGGCTGCTTATGCACAGGGAGATAGCTCAGGGTGCAGAAGAGTATGAAGGGATGGACACTGGGAGGAGGTAACTATGGGGAGGAAGTGGGAGGGGAGCTGCTGCATTGTAAATTTTGGTCAATGACATGAGACAAAGTATATGTGAACTGCTGTATGAAAAGTGAATTTACTCTGTAAATCTTCACCCAAATCCTAATTAAAAAAAAAAAAAAGAAAGCTGTTTAAAAAAAAAGAGTAATGTGTTCTATAACTGCTTTAAAAGCATAATTCCTAGAAGCCTGAGATTTCCTAATTTTGTGTCAATATCTTGGATTACTTTTTTTTTTGTTAAATTGTGAAAGCATAAACAACAAAATGGACTACTTTTTAAGAATGCCAAAAGTTTTCTCCTACAGGAATGAAAAATGTAACTGTAACAGACAAGCTATAAATTGTCTTCATAACAGTCTAAAATAAAGAGGGTTCTGGTGAGGACATCTGAGCACAATCCTAAATGACCAACTCTTCAATGCTTTGGGACACAGACTATTGCCAAGTCCACAGACTAAAAACTGAAATAATCTAACGTGTCAACATCAAATCATGAACAAACTACATAAAATCTAATGATGGAAAACTGCTCTTCAGAGCTGCCCTGGCACAGAAAGAGGAAGGAATCACCAATTCTTCCACCTCACCCCCACCTGCACAGAGGCTGTCTGACCTGCTGGGACTCCCTGGGGTCACCTCTTCTCCATCTGGCAGCACCAGCACCAGCTTCCAGAATACATGCTCCCGCCACCCAGGAAGGTGCTCAGCCACAAGGGTCGGCAGGTCCAGAGGTGCCCACACTGCATCCCTAAGGGGACAGAACACTATAGTAAGCCAACTGCAGCCTCGGACAGAGCAATTACCCCCAGGGCTCTGGGACCCACCTCAGTAGCTGCTGGTGGAAGTGCTGGACCTTCATACGATGAGCAGCCATGTCCCTGAGCTGCCTCAATCTACAGAGAGAGAGCGCTTGTGAGAGAGACATCATGCCTGCCCGAGGGGCCAGAGATTAGGTGACAGGGTAAGGTGGGAGCACCCGGGAGGAACACCCAGCAGGCCTGTGGGCCACTGAAAGGGATACTGAGGGGTCTCACACTGGGAGGAATGGGTGCATTTACACTGTAAGAAGCTCACGGGCTATAGAGAAAGAAAAGACTGAAGAGTGAGGTGCAATCAGTGAGCTTCGCTGATGGATAGAGAGTGTAGGGTAAACAAGTGGCACCAGGGACTTAAGAGGAGCGGAAGAGTCAAGAAATGGAGCAAGGGAAGATCATGGGTTGAGCCAGGGACCAGATGGGGACTCTGGCTTCACCAGTAAGAAAAAAAGACTGGGAAAAATATAGGGAATTCATGAATAAACTTCTATTGATGGTACCAGAGTATTACAAGGAAAAAGATGGATGACATCTGAACTAGAAACTAGGCTCCCAAGGCTCCACAGCCTCAAGACTGCAGGTAAGGCCAATCCCAAACACACAGCCTAGAGGGACCCCACTGTCTAAGAACCCCACATGTTGTCACCCCAACACACATGGTTATATATGGTCATGTACAGCCAAGTGAGAATGGAAGATCAAGAGGATCCCAAGAAAGTTGTGGCAGGGCTAATCTGGGGGTGGGAAACTGGATGGAGGAGTGCGCTGTCCTGGGGAAGGAGGCCAGGAGGGCCTCAAGCAAAGTGGGGAGGGGCTGACCTAGGGGCAGGAAACTTAGGAGAGCCTCACATGAGGGACTGACCTGGTGCAGGAGATACCCAGCTTGCCCGCGTGGCCCAGGTTCAGGATGCCCCGGGCCAGGTTCTCTGCCGTGATGGGGCACTCAGCACTTGGGGCCAGTGCTCTCAACTGTTTGACCATGTCCATGCCACAGGGGGCCGCAGGGAAGGCCCGCATCTGGCGCCTCAGCCTCTTCCGGGCCGTAACAGCATCCCTCCACCTGAGAACAAACCAAGCTGTGTCACATGCCCTGATGTCATCTCAGGCCAAATGCAAACACGGAAGAGAGGCTTTCCCAGTGATGTATTTAAATCAATATGCATATAAATGTGTATGTGTGCATGTGTGTGGTGTATGAACACGTGCATATATGTGCATGTGTATTATGTAGTCAATTGTTGCCAGAAGTACAATCCAAATAGTGCAAAAATAGGGATTCACTGCTATAAATCGTTATTTGATCCTCATCACTAACTGAAGCCAAGTGCTCACTCATGTATTTTAAGTTTGGTAGATATGCCCACTGTGCATCGCTTTTACCAGGAGACACTGGACTCACCGCTGTAGATATTTGCAAAAGCACTGAAGCTCCTGAAGGGTTTCCCTTGCTGTCTGGAAAGTTTCCTCCCCTAAGAACAAGTCCACCAAGTGGCCACAGACGTCCTCACAGCAGCGGTCCAGCCGGGCTCTCTGGTCAGCCTCCAATGCACACCTGGGAAAGAGGGCAGTCAGCACTGGAAGAATGCAGCAGGCCAGATTCCAAGAGCCTTGCTGACACACAGCTGCCCACGTCTTTAGTATCTAAATGCAACTAAGCCTTCAAGAGAAGCTTCAAGATTTTCATCTTAACTTACAGAGACTTTGAACAGTGGAGAAAAATGTATAACATAGTTCAAGGCACTACATTATAGGCACAAGGTAGCCTTGAAAACAGAAAAGAAATAAACCTTTGTCTTAATAGTTGGACAATTTAACGTTTACATGACCACTGAGATAATTGCAAAATATAAGAGGCTTGCAATTAGAAGCGACTCAAGACCAGATATATGCTGGCCCTGCCCTAGCTGAATGCCTGTGCCCAGGAAGCACTGGGGTCAATCTGTGCCTCAGAAAGGAGCTTGACAACAAAATTTTGCCAACTAAGGGAGCCCAAAGGATGATGATAAGTGCACTGAGCCACAAACCTAAGTGGCTTCATGAGGCAGGGGGTGTTCCCAGAACTGCACAGGCCCAGTTCCGGGCCTGCAGGAGAGCAGCGCTTTTATGTGCATGTCATGAGCTGCAGCTGTGCTGTCTCTTGACAGGCTTTCCTGGGATGAGAACAGACACATCCTCTGTGCTCGAGGCCTCCTCCTTACAGTTGGTGGGTAGAAAGTGGCACTGATTATCCAACCCATCAGCTCCAGGCTGTTTTGGGTCCCACTGGAGCCATGATGTTGGCCAGGGTGGCCCCCACATTGTCCTTCAGCTCAGGGACCACCGGGGCATCACATATGAAGAGGAGTTCCACACAACTGGTGCCTCTTCCCCACTGAAGCTTGGCAGTGAAACCAGAGTCGATATCATTAAATAAAGTTCTTCAGTGAAATTGTGCCAGGACCTTTCAACATAGGAAAAGGGAAGTATTTTCCTAGTTGAAAGCAATAAGCGTAAGTGGCCTAGCATGGGTAGGACAACACTGGGGCAGACACCACTAGGGCTGTTTACCTGGTACAGGGTCAGATGGGGACAGAGGCTGGGGTAAGAGTGCAACCCTGCCTCCATTCCCTAGAGTCACATACGCACACGGGCTATGATGTTTATTGTTCATCTATCTAAAAGATCAAACACTGAACCCACCAGTCACTTCCTGGGAGAAAGAGAAGGCAGTCTACTTCCATAAGAATTTATATATAGCCTTGGAGATCGTATGGGGCAGTTCTACTTTGTCCTATAGAGTTCCTATGAGTCAGAATCAACTCCATGGCAGTGGGTGGTTGTTTCTTTTTTTTTTGGTATCCAAAAGATATGCCACTTATCAAGTGTGGTTAAAACTCCAATACCCTTAACTGCATGGAGCTCATGGAGAAGTAGCCAGGCAGCCTAGGCCATGGTCTTGGTGACTCCCCTTCACAGCCTTGCTCTGCACATGAGACTCTGTGAGTTACTTACTTCAGCTCCTGGGCCACAGTCTCGCTGACACATTCTGTCACCACTAGCTCTGTCAGCTCCACAGCCAGGCCCTGACTCAGCTGATTTAAAACTAGTTCTCTCTCCTGTTTCAACCTAAAGTTAAAAGACAAGAAGCACCAGAGTAACGTTTGAGAATAAATGTAAGGTCATCATACTTGGTAAAGTTGTCAGTGGGGACATGGGCTGTGACCAAGTGAGTAAGCCCATGCCTCTTCATCGGGCACTAGGCCTCCCAGAGGGCACAGATGGGGAAGTGGAGTCAGCCGTCATAGTCTCTCCTGTCCCTTCCCACTGCACTCACCGTTCCTGCTCAGCCTGCCGCTGCTCCTCCTCTGCCCGGGCCCGTGCCTCACTCACACCCTCAGCTGCAAGAGTCCTCAGGATGCCCTCAGTGGTGGCTGCCAGCAGCTCCTCTGCAGTCATGATGGACATACTGCACAGAGAAGGGCCACTCAGCAGCTGGGCGACAAAGGCCCCAAACAGCCAGAAATGGAGCTCAGCACAGCAGAGGAAGGCATGCCAGTTTTTAAGCACAGAATGTGAGTGTGTAGGGCCTTGCCCATTTTTATTCCATCAGAAAATCCATATCTAACTCAGGGCACACAGTGACTCACACTCACACAAGTGCAACAGTACCCCCTCTTACTGTGCCACTAGATGCACTGGGAGTTTTACAAGATACTTGGAACCCTCAGGAAAACCCGAGTTAATAAATTTATCAGATTTATTAGCTTTACGAAAGTAACCTGAGAGCTCAGAAAAATTTTAATTATCAAATCTGTTAAGACTAGATGTTTAAAATATTCAACAGAACAGATATATTAAACTTGCAAATAGTTTCAAAATTTCATCACCAGGTAAAATACGAAAGGTGCATGACATGAGTTAACCTATCAAATTATAAACTAATCAAGCCCTTACCCAAGATCAAATAAAAGTGAGCACTTTTAATTTTTGTAAGGAATGAACCGATCGTTATACCTTACTAAAAAAATAGGTTTTAAACATATTTCCTTAATTAATAGACTATTACTGAAAAGCGTAAATATACCAAAACTATATGCCAATGGAAAGTGGGTGTTCAGGCACATAGAGGCAACACGAACCCAGAGAATAGGCCATACTCTGGGTTACGGGCACGCTAGACCTGGCCCGTGAGCTCAAATCTGTGCAGGCAGGCTGTGCAGCCTCTCTGAGGACAGAGAACTCTTTACAAGAGGAGACATAGGACATGCACACACAAGCAGAATCTTACAGCAAAGAGGACACAGCAGGCACCCCAGGTCAGCACTTACCCCAGGGCCGTGGCTGCATATGCTGCGCCAACAGCACCAACCTCCTCACAGTCCCTCTGGAGAACCTCCTGGATGATCTCATCCACCACCTGGGCAATGTCCTACACACAGAGAGATGGACACAGGATCAGGAGTGAGGACCATGGCATACAGACCAGCCTTCTATACAGACTGGGCCTCAGCAATGTCAATCTCTGGTTGGCAAAGGACCTCCCAATGACAAGTCACAGATGACCAGGCAAAGGAAGAAGGTCTCTCTGACATAGCATTCCTGTACAAGACTCCATGTGGTGTCACTAGCACTGATTATGGGATCCTGGGATAGAGAGCACCCCAAACAGGGGCTGCACTGCTGCTCAGAGGCCCCAAGGCTGCCCGTGAGGGGAGGATTTGCCAATAACCCCAACTCAGCCCCATAGTGCCCTGTCCAGCGACTCTTCTCACCTGACACCCTCCCTTCTGTGGCTGTCCTTCAATCTGGGGACCCCGACCCTGGCAGCACCTGCCAAGCAGCCAACAGTCAAGCTCATGGCTACGAGGACACCAGGGACCTCAGCCCACAGGCTGCCTGTGCCCCACACACAGAGCCCAGTTGATCAATGGCTCTTGATCTGACCTGTGAGGGCTCAGAACACAGAAAGCAAGAACTTCCTGAGTACTGCTATGGCTGCTGCAGACAAGCAAGGGCTCCAGTGATCTATGGGTTGGCCCTGCTCCATTACCTGCCAGATGAGAGCCTACAGATAGGTATCGTTGATCTCTCCTCACTCCTTCCCACTACTGCATGGTGCAGCCTCACCTCATTTGGAGGGAGAGGGGACCATGTCTACAGAGCGCTTAGCACAGAAAGCCAGTGACATTGACCTCTAACAAAGGTTATCAACTATTAATCTATAAAATCCCTCAGCTCACGCCAAAGTTTCAAAAGATATTAACTATCACAACAGGAGCTCCGGTGGCGCAGTACCTAAGGCATCTGACTGCTAACCAAAAGGTTGGTGGTTCAAACCCACCAGCTGCTCCATGGAAGAAAGATGCGGAAATCTATTTCTGTAAAAATTTACCACCTGGAAACCCAGTGGGGGTCGCTATGATTCAGAATTGACTCAGTGGCAGTAAGTTTGGTTTTTTGGTTTATCACAACAGTTAGAAAACCTCATACAAGTCATCTCTCTTATAGACTCAGTGGGTGTGAAACCACAGGAATACCATTCATGGCAAGACCCCAAGACCATGCATAGGTTGATCACAGACACCCATGGCCAAGACAGAAAAGTGCACACTGGTGCTGCAGCATCTGCAAGTGAGAATCCAGAAGGTTCCTACCTCATCAGAGTACACAGGCACTATCCTCGGTGGGTGGAGCTCCGGCTGCATGGGGGGCTGGAAGAGACTAGACCCCACAGCCACGGATGGGGCTGGGAAGTGAGGCAGAGACATAGGCAATGGTGCATGGGCCAGGGGCTGTGGAAGCAGCCCAGGCAGAGAAAAAGGTACAGTGGTCTCTGCATTGCGCTCCTCTCCTCTCTCGCCACCTGGAGTAAACACAGAAATATAGGGTTTGTAGGCCGGGATATCACCCAGCCTGCAGGACAGGCAGGCTACCACACAAGCTACCCCATCCCCAACTCTGAGGGAGTCCTCTGTGTCAGAAATAGCAAGTCGCAGCAGGATGAGCCATGTGTATTATGAGCCATGTTCACAGCCCCACCCCAAAAAACAACCAAGAGGCACCAGGGGAACCCAAGGCAAGCCCCCAACCCAACCATGACTCACTCACCAGTGGCCTCTGTGCCAGGTTTCTGGGGACCAGCAATTGACTCAGTGGCCAGGCTCTCCCCAACATACTTGTTCTGGGAGTTGAAGCTGCATACAGGTGTCTGGCAGGGGATGGGGGGCAGTGGCCCCCCATTTACAATCTCCCCAACTGACACCATCAGCTTCTGGGTGATGAACACTGACTTCTTGGCCTTGGACAAGCCCTCTGGTTCCAGGAATGCTGACCGGTTCAGCTCAACACAGCTGCCCAAGTTCCAAAGAAACCACACACATCACACATATGAAAAGAACCCTCACCTCTTACATCTGCCTGTCAGCAATGCCAGGAGAAAGCCCCACTACTCTAGCACCACATGCCGGGTGGGAATGGGGGTACAGCCTAGGCTGTTCTGGTGGCAGAGACCTCAGGGCTCTCTAGGGCACCAGACCCACTGTGGACATCACATCCTGCTCAGGCTGCAGTGACAGCAGATGGGAAGGGCAGCTCCTCAAGGGCTATGGGATTTAGAGAAACCCCAACGTGGGAGAGTGAGGAGTCCATGCTGTCTGACTAGGCTCATAGCTGGGCCCCCCAGGGAAGAGAGTAAGCAGACAGTGCCTAAAGTGCTCACCCATCAGAAGTAGCCAGGCCATGGTAACTAAGGAAGTCAGTCGCCTCATCACCATCTTGGAACAGCAGCATGTGCACCACACTGTCCAGGGGGAAGGTAGTGGACCGCTGTGTGCTCACTGTGTAGGCCACATTGAGTGCCCTAAGTGCATCTTTGCGGATCTGGAGGAAGAAGCCAGCTGACCCAAGTAAATGTCCAATCTTGCCCCCTGCCATGAAATGGCTGCGTGAAATGAAGGCAGCCTCTTTCCCATCACAAGCCCCTACCCACCAGAACCCCAAGGACCCCTCTTAAGGAGGCCAGGCACTCTTCATTCCTCAGTTGTGGGGGCAGCACAGGAAGGGCCAAGGAGACAGGGTGCTCTGGGAAGTGGGGTGATAGGTGGACAGGCAGGCAGGGTTATTCTAGGATCACTGAGGCCCCACAGTGGGAGCTATGGAGCGGCTCTGGGAATGAAGGTTCTATCAAGATTTACATGATGCAAACCTCAATGAGAAACTATTTTCCTGTTGTTTCTGTAACCCAGGGCATAGAGCAGGTGCTGCAATACTTACTGAGGCAAACTCAGCCTCAGCAGGCTCACACCAAAAATTTAGATTAACGTTACTATGATTTTCAGTGTTAGGAATTTTGTTTTCACGGAAGAGTGGTAAATACAAGTTATGGCATCCTGTAAAGACTTCTCTTATCTGAATCACAAGGAGAGTATTTTCCACACACTGCTATTTCTGGTAGTGGTCAGCAGAAACACTGGTAACCCCTAGTAGGGCAGCTATAGGGTGATACGAAGGAGTCCCAGTTCACTCAGCAATGTTCCCAGAACAGAGAAGCACCTAACGACATGTTACACAATAGTGTGCTTTCTTCCAATTCTGTAAGCACATTTACATTACTCACCTGATTAAAGTAACAATGTAAAAGACAGGCATTCAGGTAAGACGCAGACTGAACCAGTTTGAAAAATCTCACGAAGTTATTACTGTTCAGTGCAGCAAAAGCCTGAACGGCAAATTTCACCTCAGACGAGTTTCTAACGGCAGGAGGGAACTGTTGTACTTCTCTGTAAATTAACAAAATAAAAGGAGTGTGAGGTAGCATGAGCATAGCTATGATCAGAAAAACAGAAAACAACAGGTGATGGAGAGGATGTGCAGAAATCGGAGTCCTCGTCCATGGCTCATGGCAATGTAAAATGGTGCACCTGCTGTGGAAAAGTCTAGTGATTCCTCAAAAAGGTAAACACAGTATTACCAGATGACCCAGCAATTCCAATCCTAGGTATATAGCCAAAGAAACTGAAAGCAGGAACTCAGACAGACACTTGTGGCTCAAGGCTCACTGCAGCACTACTCAAAACAGCCACAAGGGGGAGCTAGCCTAAATATCCATGAACAGATAAATGGATAAAATGTGGTACACACACACAACGCAATATTACTCAGCCACAAAGAGAAATGAAGTCCTGATGCATACTATGATGTGGATCAATCTTAAAAAACATCAAGTTAAGGGCAATAAGCCAGACACACAAGAACAAATAGTGTATGACCCCACTTAGATGAAATATCTAGAATAGGAAAATGAATAGAACCACTAATAGGTTAGTGATAACCAGGGCCTAGCAGAAGGGAAGGATGGGAAATTATTGCTTAGGGAGCACCAAGCTTCTGTTAAAGGTGATGCAAAAATTTGGAAATGGGTAGTGGTGATGTGTGCACAATATGATGGATGCAATTAATGGCACTAAATTATACATGTAAAAATGTACAAAATGGAAAATGCTTTGTTACACATATTTTTACCACAATTTTAAAACACACACAGACATACACATACATATCTGATTGGAAAAAAAAACCTAGGTCCAATCATATTAAGAATGTCTTAATGGTGAACTGTGCCACTATATTTGTAGTTATATTAACTTCAAAATTATCACTCTTGGGTTGGATTGCTAGGTTAAGATTTTCCTTTAAAAGCTGATGAATAAAGTAAGCAAGTTCAAGAACAATTTAGGAATCAATTATCAGAGTTACTTTAAATACCAAGTGACTGATTTTCAAGTCAGTTGTGTATAAAGACAAAGACTAAGAAACTTAGAAAACTTAGTTCTTTTTGTTGTTGTTTTATTTAGAAATAAACTCTGATGTGATTCTGAATTATTCAAAACGGAGAACATGTATGAAAGGAATACAGGCATTTTCCATAACTAGTTTATCTCCAAGCTTAATTTTAAAACTTACAATCAGTGACACAAGTAAATATGCTGAGACAGGGTTCTGGGGAAAAAAATAAAGCTAAAAGAAGTTTCTGGCTCCCTCTTAATATTAAAATATCTAATAAAACAGATGAAAAAGAAGAGACTCTTGGGCAAGAAGAGACAATGACATTGCCAAGTCCAGCCACTCACTGATGACAACACGGTTGCTGGGCTCTGCCCACCCCTCACGTCGCTGATTGGCCAGACCAGGACTTAACCCTCTACCTTGTCTAAATGCCCAGTCCTCATCATCCCCGTCTCAATCTCTCCTCCCGTTACTCAGACCCGACACAAATTCTCAGCAGTGCTAATACAGCACAGGCCAGCCTGGCCACCCACCTCCTCTGCTCATCAGAGAAACCCATTTCCTATGTTCTCTCATTGACACAGCAAAAACCAGGGCTTGTCCCTCTTCTCCCCCAATCTCCAGGGGCCCTTTACTATCATCTGACATTGGTTACCAAAGAGAACTCACTATAATGACCTCAAAAAGCATTCTGCTGTACAAACCTCCTCTTACAACATCCCAAGTCAGCCCTTCCCTCGAAGACTCACCTTAGGATGTCCCCCTTGTTGAGGTTGAGCAGCACATTGTAGCCCTGGAATTCTGCCTCACCAGCACAGGAGATACCTTTGTTCCTCAGGTCCTGGTACATTTCTTTCAGACTCTGGAGGCACTTGGTCATGTTCTCATTGTTGATCTTGGCATCGAAGGAGGACATGGGCTCCTCACACATGAAATGAGCACAATGGATGTGGAACCGTGTGCATTTCTCAATCAGGGACACCGTCAGGGGGTCACACAAGTGCTGCTGCGTGATGTCCTGGCCACAAGCAAGGGGGAAGGTTATATATGCACACACACCTCGCATGCACACAAATTTCATATATACATACACACCTTATACACTCATGTACCTCATAAACACACAACTCATACATATACACACATCGCATTCTACTCATATGCATGCACACTTCATATGCATACACATAAACATATCACACATACCTCATACACACATGTACATACACCTTGTACACACACGTACATCCCCCTCATTCACACATACATGCACCTCATGCACTCATCTGCATGCACCTCATATGCATACCTCCTACACACACACACCCCTCATACCTGTCATACACACCCACCCTTGTATATAAATGCATATGTTCCCATGCAGACTTATTAGAAAAAAAAAAAAAAAAAAAAAAAACCACCTCACTGCCATCAAGTCAATTTTGACTCATAGTTAACCCTTACTGGGTTTCTAAGGCTGAAAATCTTTACCAAAGCAGCCTGCCTCATCTTTCTTCCATGGAGTAGCTGATGGGTTCAAACCACTGACCTTTTGGTTAGCAGCCAACTGCCTTAACCACTACACCACCAGAGCTCCTTAACTACTAGAAAAATCATGCTTATTAACTGAATTTCTCACAGCTCAATTTGAAGCAAAGCCTATTAAGCAATATAATTTGGTAATGATTTTAAATCACACAATTTTTTGTTACAGAAGAAACATTTTTCTATTATTGCTATCAAGTCAATTCTGACTCATGGGGACCCTATGTGTGTCAGAGCAGAACTGCTCCATGGAGTTTCCAATGGCTGATTTTTCAAAAGCAAATACCCAGGCTTATCTTCTAAAGCACCTCTGGGTATATTAAAATTACCAACCTTTTGGCTACCAGTCAAGAGCTTACTTGTGTGTACACACAAGGACTTCACAGCTGAAATATCAGAGTGCAATGAAAAGAACTATCAACTTCAGTTAGGAATCTGAATACATCCCAGTGTCTCCTGACCTTCCGAATGCCCCGTGTCCGGTTCCACACGAAGTCGTACCAGTCGCGTAGGCTGCCCTCTTTCTGATCCATGATCTGGGTCACCAGGTAGTCCATGGTCCTGCTGAGCACTGCTGATGGCCGAAGCTCATGTGGCAGCGGCTCCTCCTGATCAGCTGAGGACCGGCTGTACTCCTTGATAGCCGCTGCATGGTCCACCTGGGGGATTGGGGTGCAGACATGGCTGTTTGTGGAATGGCCCTGGCCAGCATCCAGCACAGTCATTCAAACTTCCTTAAAATGCTTTCCCAACTGCCGAAGCATACATCAAGCTTAGCACATCAAAATATGTATCAACAACTTCGTCAACACATACTACAGCTCCTCAAATAGATTTGTACTGATGGTACACAAACTACATGCTGCATCACACACCTGCCAGAGCTGCCCATGTGTGAATTATAGGCAAGAGCGTAAGAAGGGGAAGCAAACAGAGACAGGGCTTCAGGATACCTCTCAGGACACAAAAGACCAATACTTGACAATGCATTTTAAAATATATTCCTTTATTTCAAAATTCAGAGACAAAATAAACTAGGAAAAATCACTGGCAAATAGGACAAAGAGTTCAGATAAGAGAGGATGAGGTCAAGATGGCAGAGGAGTGCAGATGAGGCCACTGCATGGCTCCAAAGTGCATTGGGTGACAGATAAAAGACTTTTGAATGCTCCAGAAGGTCTCAGTCTCACTACAAATCCCAGTGTATGTTTACACAAGCCAGAAACACAATGGAAACAGAAGTGAAGTGGCCTTCTGAAACAAGTATACAAGTATACAGAGGTAAACGTGGTCAGCCACCTGCATGCCACACCCCCACCCCAGTGTGTATACCCCAGCGTATGCCCCAGACAACAGCTTAGAGAGGACTGAATAGCCATCAAGTCCCACCTGGTCTGTCCCAGGGATCACTTCAAACACGCTCAGCTGGTTCCTGGTCTCCCGCATATACCGCTCCTTCTCAGGACACATGTCCGGGCATGTCCCAACAAAAGTCCTTGCTTTGTCCAGGTCAGTCCTCTTTACTCGAGCTATTAAATAATCAAGGAGAGAGAAAGCACTACCACACAGTCGCTGGAACTCATCCTTAGTGCACTTTCATAATGATAAAAAGACAACAAAAATGTCATTCACAAAAATCATAAAGGACAAAAAGGAAAGGTTCCTAAAACAACAGTTTCAGAGTAATAGAAGCACAACCCATCATGGTGGATGCTGGGGCACTAGGCTCACGGAGACCCCAGAGGCTCTCCTCTCCCCAAATGTGACTCCAGATAGAGAAAGGATACCCCCAATTACAGCTGGGAGCACCACAGTATTTTATAAATCCTACAGTGACCTCAATGATGCTGCAGTACACCATATGTTAAAAGGGTTAATTTATTAAATGTAAATATTCAAAATACATCAGTATTTCTAAAACTCTGTTTCAGTATTACATCATTATTTTAATGTAATAGGAATCACACAGAAATTAACTGGATCTCAAATGAAGAAATAAACTAGGATTATAACTCAGAGTTAAAGAATCACAAAAGCATTTTTTAAATGCAATGGAATGCAACATCATACCTCAAAATATAAATACATTTGATTTTAAAAATTCTAATACCACATGGTGGCACTGAGTAAGAGGAAGATACAGAGAAATACACAAATGGTACAGACAAGAAAAATAAACCCTTTTATACATACAATGTTACACTGACAGTGATAACAAATATTAATATATGGGTAAATAGATAAACAAGCTGAATGATGAGGTATGTCTAGGCAAAAGGGAATATACCAGTGACCATATATAAGGTTAAGGAGCAGCACAATGCTTAAAGCTTACTGCTAACCAGAAGGTTGGTGGCTCAAATCCAGCAGCCACTGAAGAAGTAAGACTGGGCAATCTACTTCCGTCAAGATTTACTGCCTCAGAAACCCAATGGGGGTCACTATGAGTCAGAATCAATTTGATGGCAGTGGGTTTGGTTTTATATATAAGGTTGGCAGATGATATTTCTATATATGTATTTGAATGTCCAAGTATATAATAGAGTTAACAAGGGGCAAAGTTGTAACTCCTTGGCAACAGCCAACTACCCTAAGGGAGCAAGTAGTTGGACCTATGGGCTACGGACCATGGTTGCAGGGGATACCAAGCTCAACTGGTATAATAAGCTACACAAAAACATTACTCTACATCCTACTTCGGTGAGTAGTGACTGGGTTTTAAAAGCCTGCAAGTGGCCATCTAGATGCAACGATGGGTCTACCCTCATCCAGAGCAAAGAAGAATAAAGAAAACCAAAGACGCATGGAAACAATCAGTCCGAGGGACTAGGAGACCATGTAATCCACAGCCTATATGACCATGAGACCAGAAGAACTAGGTGATACCCAGTTACCACTGTCAACCACTCAGAAAGGGATCAGTGCAAGAGACCCTGGATAGAGTGGGAGAACAATGTAGAACTAAACTCAAAATCATTTAAAGAAAGACCAAGTTTACTGGTCTGATGGTGAGACCCCCCTAGTACCCTTCAGGTCTGGAACTAAACTCATTCCTATAGCTTCCAGCCAAACAATGGGCAGGCACATAGGGTGAACATTTATATCAGGTAGATACACTCCTTAGAGCAATCAATCGTGGAAGAACAGAAGGGTAGTATTTGCAAAAGGAAATAGTGCCGGGGGAGGGGGGAGCCAGGAATGCATAGGAAAGAAGAACACAGGGAAGAGGTAACTATAAAGAGGAAATGGGAAGAGAGCTGTTACATTGTGGGGAATTGCAGTCAAGGTTATGAAACAAAATATATATGAACTGCAGTACAGAAAATGAATTTGCTCTGTAAATTTTCACCCAAATCACAATAAAATTTTTTTTAAAAAAATTCAAATACCAGTAATAATTTTATTTGAAATATAAAAACTGTCACACTGATGATATAAAGTATAATGAGCTTTTATTATGCTGCTAAAAATAAATGGTATTATTCCAATTATTTACAGCTTTTTATGAAAGGAAAATCTTACAGCTGAAATCAAAGGGAAAAAAACTTTGCAAAAAATACATATTTCTTTCCCTTTTATTTCTAGTCACTGCATATATTTTTTTAATTTTAATGTAACACTTTTTGAGTATGTTTGATAGTCTAAAGATACCAAAAACATCCAGAGTGAAGTATCTCCTCACCTCTGCCTTCAGACACTCAGCTCCCCTCCCTACAGCAATTACCCGCACGTGTTAAGCAAGTGTCCTTACATAATACACTCATGCATGCACATGGTACAAAGGCACTCACACACATTCATGTTCTCTTCCCCTTTTGTACAAATGACAGCACACTACTCTTGGCACCTTGCTTTTTTCCCTTAAGAAATCTTGATAATTTTCCTGTAAAGAAATCCTCATTCTCTAAGTTTGTTTGTGATCCCAATGTGTAGATACAACCACAACTTAATCAGTCCTCACTGACCAACATCTCTGAGTTTCCAATCTTTTTCCGTTACAAACAACCTAGTATAGGAATCATTTCATGTGTGGGTGTGTTTGTGGGTTAACTCCCTAGCAGTAGATGGCACTCAAAGGCCTGGGCTTTTCTAAGTTTTCAAAGTTTACACCTCTGCCCTCAGCTTTCCCACAAGGCAGCTGTGGAACTGTATGCTGCTTTCCCACAGCCTCGCCAGTGCACCACAGACTTCTCAGTCTCCAAAACCCAACAGATAAGAAATCCACTTCTCTCACCATGAGGAGAGGGGAAGGCCTTTTCCATATGTCCATGAGCTAGTTCCTGCCACTTTCTTCACTGTAACCTCTCCATAACTTTGTCCACCTTGCTACTGGTTAACGATCTAGTCCCCATTCTTCTACTGGGCTTTGGTCTTTTTTTGACTGGCTCCTGGGAGCTCTTTCCATGCCAGGGAAATGAGCACCTTGTCTGTGACAGGAGTTACAGATAGCCCCCTGGCTTACATTTCTTTCTGAATTTGTGGCAATTTCATCAAAAATAAAGTTTTTATTTTTTTGCCATATGTTTTCTGAATGCTAAAACACTGCCCTTTAAATTGTGTATTTTATCACAAGTCACTGGTTTGTAGCCTTTACTGCAAAAATAAAATGATACTTAAAACATCATGCATCCACATCTCTGCTTATCCTCACCTGAGAAAGACCAGTGAACAGTGAGGATGGGGCTCCACACTGTAGCCACCCAACCCCATTGGGGGAAAGCCACTGCCTCCCATAGGAGACTATTTCACCAGGGGGTTCATTCACATCAGAAACAGTATAAAAGGAATGTCTGTTCCTAAGCACACGACACGATGATGCCATTACCTTGCCGCATCACCCTGTCTCTCTGGTCCAGAAGACGGTACTTCTCTTCAGAGGTCTCAGCCACGGTGCCCACAAGGGCACTGAGGGAAGACACACAGGGCCCAAGACCCTCAGGGCCCTCAGAGCCAGAATCAAAGGGGTCTACCTCAAACTGAAGGGTCTTCAGGAGACTAGGCTTCTTCACTGGAGAGCTGCAAAGAAACAGCACAAATAAGGTCCTCACATTCATTGAGCATTTATTGCCCAACACTTTTCCACATAGCCTCCTTTTTCACTGCCCACACTCCATAAGGCTGAAAAATTATAAGCTTTGAGATGAGATGACAGATTAAGCTGGGATGACTATGAAAATTTTGATTACATAATTCACTATGATTTTTATAATTTTGACATGTTTCATAATTTTTTAAAATGAGATGAGCCCATTTCACCAACTAAAATGTCTACTCATAGATTTTTACCTAAAAAAAAAAAAAAAAAAGAAATTCAACCTGAAACACACTTTAATTCCATTTGTGCCCACCCATCTTTACACACAGCTTCACCTGGGTAGAAGGATTTAATAAACAGAACTGGGCATTGTGTCTCAGCTTCCCCTTTCCCAATTGGCTTTCAGTATTCTATGAGCACAAGTGTCAAAGAAGATAAAAGACTGGTTGAGGGAAAAAAAGAAAACCAGCAACTAAATTTCTCATCACAAAATGCACAGTGAGAAAAATAGTAAACTGGCCAAAGCCATGATGAAGGATTCAACAGGAGGCCTGTCACACAGACCTCTGCTAAAACACAGGTCCAGACCAAAGACCCCAAGGGCCAGGAGGGGACTTGTGAGCAATATCCTCAGACAGGCTGGGTAAGGGAGAAGTGGTCAGTTCAGTGAGCCCACAGTGGTGCCAGCCTGGAATGAGAGTTGTGCCTGCAGCCCTTAGTGAGCATATAAGCATGGTCTCACCAAACCCCTGGCTCTGCTAAATGAACACTTGCCCAATGTGGTTACTGGGACAACAACTGCTACAGCATGATCAGTCACTGCTGAAGTACTTGTATTCCAAGTGGAACTGCATCACAACATGGCAAGACACAGAGATTATGCACACCCACTACATATCCAGTCAGCACCCTTGAGTGAAGAACTGTAAAAAGGAAGCAGCCTTCCAAGTGTGGACTGTGGTGAGGACAAGGTGGTAAAAAAATAAAGGCCAGCCCCAAATGAGGGTCCTCCAGTAACCAGGGCCTCAATAAACAAATGGAGTAAGATAAACATCAGTGATTCTCCATCATCTCTGTGACCAATGGGTCCAGGGCCAGGAAACTCACTCATGCAAATGCTCTGGCTCCAACACCACCGGCCTCATCAGCCCAGGTTCCGGAACCTTGTCACAGCCCTCATGCAATCCAGGGTCAGCCCTCATGCAATCCAGGGTGCCACTATCCCTTCCCTTCCCACCACTCCGCACTCCTGGTCTTGGCAGAAGTGGCAGCTCAGAGAAACAAAAGACCAAGGGTTTCTGCATCCCCCTCTACTTCACTCTCCTCAGGTCTCGGCACCCTACCCACACTTTGGAGGTGGCAGTGGCCAGAAAATCCCTCTGTTCACTGGCACTAGAAATCAGGCACCCTCATGCCAAGCAGAGTACAACACTCCTGACCACTGAGAGGGCTGGGCCTCACCTTTTACTGAGGAGGCAACCACCAGCTGCAACCCTGACCATGGGCTTACATAGGGAAGTATGCTGGGAGGATGCATCTTCTGAGCCTGGGTTTGCTTCACCATCACCTAGCTGCTTCTCCTTGAGGGCAAATGGCTTCTTGTTGGGGCCTGAGAACACAGAAGTCAGACAGAGTGCACGGTATCACACGTCACTTCATACTGGACTTTTTTTTTTTCCTTTTTATTGTGATTTGAATGAAAGTTTACAGAGCAAATTCACTTTCCACACAGCAATTCACATATACTTTGTCTCATGACATTGACTACAATTTACCCCAATGCAACAGCTCCCCTCCCACTTCCTCCTGATAGTTACCTCCTCTTCCCTGTGTCCATCCCTCCATGCACTCCTGCCCCCTGAACTGTCCCCAATGCATAAAGAGCCCTTCTTTCTCCCATGATTTTTCTCTTCAAGGACAGTATCTACCTAATGTAAATGTTCAGCTCATATGCCTGTCTTTTGTTTGGCTGGAAGCCACAAGGGTGGGTTCAATTCCAGACCTGAAGGGCAGCTAGGGGCCATAGTCTCAGTGGTTCCACCAGGCTCTATTGGACCACTAAATCTGGTCCTCATTTTTTTTTCTCCAAATGATTGAGTTTTGTTCCACATTGTTCTCCCTCTCTATCTAGGATCTCCTACATAGATCCCCCTCCAAGTGGTTGACAGTGGTAGCTGTGCACCATGTAGTTCTTCTGGTCTCATAGTCATACAGGCTGCAGATGAGATGGTATACCAGTCTCTAGGACTAATTTTTTCCTGAATCTTTGGTTTTCTTCATTCTTCTCTGCTCTGGATGAGGAGAGATCAATCATTGCATCTAGATGGCTGCTTGCAAGCTTTTAAGATCCCAGTTGCTACTCGCCAAAGTAGGAGGTAGAACAATTTTTGTGTAGTATGTTATGCCAACTGAGCTTGATGTCCCCTGTGACTATGGTCCCAAACCCAGAGGTTCAACCACTCACCCCTCTGAGTAGCTGGCTGTGACCAAGTGACTACAACTTTGTCCCTTGTCAGCTCCACTATACACCTGGGAATCCTTACGGAACATACAAATACACTTGTAGAACCACCGTCTATCAACCCTATACATGGTCTTGGGAACACTCACAGCTCATACTGGACTTTTAACTTTCTATTTGAGAAAGTAATGTCTCTATGACTGTGGAGACTATAAAAAAGCTCAAAGAAGCTGCTACGAGAAACAAGAGCCCACCTTGGAGCCATCTCACCCATGGCACAGGCACATGGCAAGGATGCAGAGGAAGGCTTGCTCTTTAAGAGGCCCCAGGGTCTGCCCACAGAACACTAGAATGTAGAAAGGTTCATTGAAAACTCACTTATTTTCTTCTTATGCCAGAAGATAGCCACATCTTTATGTAGACCTTTCCCCTTCTTCCTTGCCAGGGCTGCAGATGCCTGAAAAACAACCCACAGCACGAAGGAGGACATTAGGACACCAAGGAAAAGGAACAAAAACTCACATGCATTGAGCAGATAGACCATTCAAGAAGAAAGGAGTGATACGAAGATGTTGACAGAATGGTCAACAAAGCATAATACAAGGCCCCCAGCCCTTTCTCCAGCGTGACACAGGGTATAGCTGCCACTCCCTTACCTGCCTCACAGCATGCATTTGCTCTTCTCCTTTTTGAAACTAAGCTACCTCACTGTGATAAAATCCATAAACCTGGCCTCACCAGCACTTAATTTTATGATTCCAAACTGATCACACATGCAGAACTAGAAAAATATCCAAGTGACATGTATGAAAAAAGGATGCTACAGAATAATACACATGGGATATACCATCATGGATCACAAAACACAACACACAACCAACCATGTGTGAATATACCTACAGATGTGTTTATAAAAACCACACTAGGTCACCATGGTGAGACAGGAAACAAAAGAGTGATCAGGAAACCCAACTTTACCTGTATCACTGAATTCTTTTACAATGACCATATAGTCGTATGTTAGTTAGCCAATAAAAAATTAAAAAAAAGTTTTTAGTTTCAATTAGAAGAACAAGCACAACAACAACAACAACAAAATATTTAAAGATAAAGGATTGTATTCCCAAATACTAAAATGTCCCATGACACATATAAACATCAGAATAGGCAAAATGACAGATGAAAATCCAGAAACTGAGACAGGTGAGGTGCATGTGTATATACATGTAAGAATGGACCGTTCAATAAGTGGTGCTGAGATCTATGAACAACATAACTGGGAAGAAATAAAGTGGGATCCTTATCTCAGGCCATACAATAAAACAAACCTCATGTACATTATTGTATATGTGGAGTAGGGTATAAAAATAGTAAGCATATCTTAAGAATGCTTTGGAAAGAAATGATTTTTTTTGGTCTAAAAGACATACCTAAGGGCAAACCCACTGCCATCAAGTCAAATTCTGACTCATAGTAACCTTATGGGACAGAGGAGATATACTGGGCCACAGAGGGTTTTCCAAGACTGCAAATCTTTACAGAAGCAGATTGCAGCATCTTTCTCGAAAAGAGTGGCTGGGTAGGTTGAATTGCCAATTTTCTGATTAGCAGGTAAGTGCTTAACCAATGTGTCACCAGCACTCCTTAAAAGACAAATATTTTAAAATATTAATATATTTAAAAAACAGGAAACCGATAACTTCTACAAGATTAAAAAATAAAAGGCCAATATCCAACTAGAAAAGAAAATTATAACCAATAATAGACAAAAGGGCAATACCACTAACTTTTTTCGAAGAAACTTAAAAATCAATAGGAAGGACCATCTAGATGCAACGACAGGTCTCTCCTTGTCCACAGCAAAGAAGAATGAAGAAAACCAAAAATTCATGGAAACAATTAGCCCTAGCAACTGGTACACCATCGGATCTGCAAACTATACAACTATGAGACCAGAAGAACTAGATGCTGCCCGGCTACTGTTTTCAAACCCCCAGAGGGGCATCTTTGGAGGAGAACCTGGTCAGTGTGGGAGTTCTATGTGGAACGAAATTCAAAATAATTTTAAAAAAAAAGGACCACATTTGGTGGTCCAATAGAGCCTGGTGGAACCACTGAGACTATGGCCCCTAGCTGCCCTTCAGGCCTGGAATTGAACTCACGCCTGTGGCTTCCAGCCAAACAATAAGGCATATGAGTTGAACATTTACCTGAGGTAGATACACTCCTTGGAGAGAACAAGCATGGGAGAAAGAAGGGCTGCTTATGCACAGGGAGAGGAGGCAGGGGGCAGGAGTGCATGGAGGGATGGACACAGGGAAGAGGTAACTATAAGGAGGAAGTGGGAAGGGAGATGTTGCATTGTGGTAAACTGTGGTCAATGTCATGAGACAAAGTGTATGTGAACTTCTGTGTGGAAAGTGTATTTGCTCTGCAAATTTTCACTCAAATCAAAATTTTAAAAAAAAATCAATAGGAAGGAATAAATACCAAAGGCTTGAAAACTATGCATATACTTTGCCAAAGAAATCCCACTCTCAGGACTTTAAACACAGGCTATAAGCTAATCAGAAATATAAGCACAAAATAGCTAAAACTGGAAATTGGCCAACAAGTAAATAAACAGGATGAAACTCCATACAGCAGTTAACAACACATTCTAGTCTAGACTACTTATTCATTTCAGAAAATACTGACGAGTTATTGCTGTATGAAGATGTTACACTGAGTAGTATATATACTTTGATCCCATTCAGGTAAAAAAAAAATATGAATATTTTTGGAAATATATTATTCTAAATATTGACAGTCAATCTTTGGAGGGCAAAATTAGGGGTGATTTTGTGCCCTCCTTTGCAATAGGACTTTTCTGGTGTTTTCTCCTGCACTAACAGAAAATACTACTATCTTTAAAAAAAAAAGGTTATGAAAACATGCTTTCTGCTTTATAGACTTCTACAGAACTTAATTTGGGAGTTCTGGTGGCATGGTGCCTGAGGCATTTGACTGCTAATCAGAAGGCTAGTGGTTCAAATCCACCAGCCACTCCTCAGAAGGATGACTGGGTAATCTACTTCCGTAGAGATACTGCCTCAGAAACCCAAGGAGGGGTCATTATGAGTCGAAATAGACTCAACGGTATTTGTGGTATAGAAGTTAATTTAGAGCTGCCTCCTCAAAGCAGAGTCAACCTTAATGACTAGAATGGAATAAAGCTTTCAGAACCTTGACTTCCTGATTGGGGCATGAGTGAAAATATTAAGAAACAGCTGCAAATATTCATTAATAATCAGAACATGAAATGTACAAAATATGAATCTAGTAAAATTCAACATTGCCAAAATGAAACACATAAAAATCAATATCCTAAGCATTTGTGAGCTGAAATGGTCTGGTGTTGGCCATTTTGAATCATACAATTATATGACTGGGAACAACAAATTGAAGTGGAATCGTGTTGCATTCATTCATTGACAAAAAGAACATTTCAAGATCTATCCTTGCAAAAATGGCAAGGAAGGCCACATGTTCTGACCTCCTCTAATCCCACAAGAGGAAGGCAGAATCATCATCAATAGCGCAAGGCCTATGACTGCAAGGCCAGACATGCTGCCTCCCTCCAGCCCTTTCACCAACCGTTCCGCCCAAAGCACCCACCACCTCTCTCCTGGGTTTGATAATTCGCTGCAGTGGCCACACAGAGCTCACAGATTATGGGGTTTATTAGGGAAGCACCACAGGCTACAATTCAAGTTCAGGAAAAATGCTCAGTCTCTCTCCCAGCCCACCGTCCCTCA